TTCAAGTCGCTCAGGTGTTCTTATCTCGGACTCAAGTTTCAGTGCACAAAGGCTGTGCATTGAGAAACGAAGCTACTTGGCAACAGTTTGACGCAAAGTGCGGATGCAATTTCTGGATGGCTTTTCTTATGTATGTAAACACACCATTCTGAAATGTTTGAGGGCACTCGTTCTTGAGCAGAGGTGAATTATATACCTTTTAGGCTTAAAAGGTTCTGAGAGCTGATAACCAAGTCTCCCTGACGTTGGTGAGTGCGGGGCTCTAAGGAATAATTGCGTGTTTATTATTCGTTATTCCTTTTCAGAGTAAGTGAAATTCGTTGTTATCATTAAGATGAGAAATAGTGTTGTTTTCTGTGCTAATAAAACGGTAAACTTGAACGTGCTTCATCCGTGTGTTGATAATTAAAGAAAAAATTGCAAGCGTTTGAGCTCCAAGATATGATGCAAAACATTGTATTGAGGAATTTAAAGGAGCGAGGAATCATCTTTTACCAACGCAACCTACGACAAGACAATTTTTTACCGCTAAAGAACAAATTAGAGTTCTTCCGTGTTTAACGTTTTAAATAAAATCGAGACCAAAGATTTGCCGCAGTTCAACTGGCCTTTTAAGTAAAGTAAAAAACAGTAAACAGTAAACAGTAACGCATTTGGTAGACTTGTTGTTGACTTGCAGCCGACTTAGAATGGATTCCTTCATTTCTCTTCCGTTAGTTTCTCCCTCCGTCTATTTTTTTAAGGGCATTTTTGTTTGTTTACTTGTTTGGTTTGGTTTGCGTTAAATTTATAGGCTAGAAAAAAAGTCTAGGCATATTCCTAAATAATATATACTATTCAATTTCAGCATCGGTGGTGATGGCGTGGAATTCAAGCTTCTTTATCATCCTGGCCTCTTTGTATTTCAAAGACCTCGCTATTGCTAAAAATCCGTGCAAGACAGGAGTTAGCGTACCCGGTATGGCTCTCAAAGGATTCGTCTTTAAAAAGGTCCCAGTAACAGCTCCTCACGTGTGCGATGTCACCTGCGAGAGGGAGACGATATGTCAAAGCTACAATTATGTAATTGGGGAAAAGTCCTGTGAATTAAATACCCGAACCAAGGAAGCAAGGCCCGAAAATTTCCAGCCAGATGGTTTACGCTTTTACATGGGACGCATTAGTGGTAGAAGTATGTATCCGGTTTAGTTTATTTTACATACAAATCTTTCTCAGTGAGTTCCTAGTAAGACCTCGCTTCTTTCCGAGAGCTGGTGTCCGATTGCTTTGTTATTAAATAGGGTCAGTTTCTTAAAGCAAAATTCGCCTTCCATACATATATTGATATCAGCTAAACTACTCAACTCGTAATTATTGTTATTCCATGTTTATCTTGCTCGGACAAACATATTTTCAGATCTAATCTGTTTTTCAACTTCTATTACCCTTAAACCATTAATGAAGTCATGTCTATATATTAGCCCCTTAGGATCTATTCCTGAATTACCAGCGTTATCGTGTCAAGAGATAAAATTAAGTGAAGGTAAAGACAGCATCAGTAAAAATTACTGGTTGGATCCAACTAATGGCGGGAGCTCAAAGTTGGTTTACTGCGACATGATTTTGGAAGGTAAGTCAGTATACCAAGAATAGAATTTACACAGCGTTTGGTCTACCTTTGCCCTGGCCTTTTGTGAAATTTTTTTTTTTCCTTTGTCTCAGTGATTTCTTCGATTAATTTTCAAATAGACATCGATGAATGTAAAGGCAGCAATAAAGTTTGTGACGAAAATGCAAACTGCTCCAATACTGTTGGGTTTTATAATTGCACCTGCAAAGAAGGGTTTACTGGGGATGGACGCTCGTGCTTAGGTAAACTAGTTACAGACACGCCGAGGTACAATATTTAATTATTTTTCGCCTAAAAACACTGGAGGTACATTTGAGCTATCAACAATCGAGTAAGTGAATAACAGACCAATAATACCTAGCATGCTATATCAGTGGACCCTTAGCATTACACAATGCAATTTTAGCAGGAACTACTGACCTACTTTTTTTTAAACAGCATTACCCATACATGTTTATGCAAGGAGCTGCCATGATCTCCATCCGGTTTGTTTCAGAGCCATCATGTTAGGAGACTAAAATATAGCATTGGAGAAGAGAATATAATATCTAGGTTGCATGTTTCAAAAACAAAAGACGAAAAAATAAAAGTGCAAAATGCATTTACGGTTTCTCAGATATTGACGAGTGTAAAGGAAATCACTCCTGCCACGTGAATGCTAAGTGCAATAACACCCTTGGATCACATATATGTGAATGTCAGCCTGGATATACTGGAAATGGACAAAACTGCACAGGTGAATTTAATTTCTTCGTTACGATATTTGGACGTGACTGCACAGGTATTTGATGTGTTTCTTCTGTAACCGTTCCCATCAGAAAGAAAAGCACTATCATCGTTGCAAGACTTGTTTTGCCAGCATACCTTGTGTAAAAAAGAGATGAGTGTAGG